GATATTTCATTATTGTCTCTAATAAATAAAGTAATAAAGTTAAATACTCTAGTTGAAAGAATTACGAGAATTTCCATTTCTCCAGAATTTCTGTCTGGCGGACCTGCCTTAACCCTCGAATCTGGAACGGGACAGGTGACCAATTAATATTGATCACTTGTTACGTCACAATTGATAGTTGAGCAATAATATTTGGTCGCCACACCTTTCAGGCCAAGGGGAACGCATTTCTGCGGTCAACGATAATGTCCACCAGAGGTCTCCACTGATCACTATATTCGCACAGGCTGCGATATATCTGATACTCTAAGGCCTACCCGCACACATTGCACGGGCTGTGGAAGCACCGCTGACGACTGCCTTTGGTGATCGTAGCATCAGCAGGCATTTTTCTCAAGCGTGGCCACCGCGATCTCCGGATCTGACTCCATTTGATTTATGGTTTTAAGGGTACCTCAAGTCAATTGTGTATCGCACAGCGCCTGCTACCTTAACTGACTTGAGGTATACCATCCGACGTCATATCACACATGCTGAACACTGGACAACTTCGTTCAGCTTTCTATGGTGTCAACCCGTGACTGCAAGCCATGGATACGAATGGTCGTCTTTTTGAGCAGATGTGGCGCCCTCTGGTGGACATTGTCGTTCACCAAAGAAACGCGTACCCAATGGTTTCAAAGATGTGACCACCAAATATTATTGCGCCACGTAGAATAGTATTCAAGATACAAGTGTTTGAACACTCCATGAAACGTCATTAAAAGCCTTTATATACTGATAGCTCTGAACTAGCAACGTTAAAGGAGGTGAAGGAAATAAATATAATTTTCATTTCGTTTGTGGGTGTCTGTGTTCGTGGGTGTTTGAGGCGAAAATTAAAACAATCCTAGAGGTTTTGATGTTTCTCACGCATAGGTCAACGAAGGTTGCATAAGTTTACATGAACTTACGGGTGCGACAAAATGCAATCGCCAATCAATTCTCTTTTCACTGGAGAACGCGTTGTTCTATCTTTACCGTACAAAGCTTGTTGAGTCACTGAAAATAAATTATTACAGAAATCTATCAGCTACGAGACAGGATCTTGCACAAAGATATCAGTATTGACTGCAGCCTGCTAGAAGTTTCTTAATGGCAGAAAAATCATTTTCAATGGTCTGTTGTGACATAGATATGACAGAAGATATGACAGAGGAGCTCGGTCTAACCAACTCGGTACAAACAATGAATAAGCAGCTCTAAGCAGTGGCTCGACAGATCAGACGGAGCAAACCAGACAAATTTAAGATCCATATACGTAGGCTGATCAAGAAGAAACAGAACTTTTTTTGATAAAAACCAGAGGGCGCTCACTGGGAAATTCAAATGGGATCACCTTCAAAGTAGTCACGACGCGTTTTGATACACTTATTCCAGCGCTCCAAGAGCTTCTGGAAGCAGTCCTGGAAGCCTTTCCGTGACATGTACTTTAGGATGGTCGTCGTGGCCTCCTTCACATCATCTAGATCGTTGAATCGACGCCCCTTCAACTGGGATTGCAATTTGGAGGTAGTCACAGGGTGCCAGATCCGGTGAATAGGGAGGGTGTGGAACCGCGGTGATTTGGTGTCTAAGAACTCGCGTGGCGTCGGTGAGTTGCGGGAAGGCGCGTTGTCATGTTGCAGTTTCCAACTATGTTTTTCCCACACATCGCGTCGTTTCCAACGAATGGCGTCGCGGAGACGCCTCAGCACTGACTTGTGGAATACACCGGTGACAGTCTGGTGTGGAGGCAGAAATTCCTTATGAATGATGCCCTCATGGTCGAAGAAGGCAATGAGCATCACTTTTCTAGTTGATTTCACCAGAGGACTTTTCTTGGGTCTGGGAGAATCTGGAGACTTCCATTGCCAACTCTGCATCTTGCTCTCTGGGTCATGCACATAATGCCATGGTGGTCGTCTTCCAAGGTTCCAAGGACTCCCACAACAGATATTGGGGTGATGATACCATATGAAATTAGTACATTTAAAAAAAATACATGTAATCAAGTTTCATAAAACCCTTACTTTCATGACAATACTTGGATTCTACTATTTCAGACCACTCATATGAGCTATTTCATGCATTTCCAGCCGGCATAGATAGAGAGTTATAAAATTCGCCCAAGGGGTCACACGTGCTTGAAAACCAATATATTCGACATTCATATATCTTGTATCAACGGGAATAAAAGTTAAATATTTTGGATTTTGGAGTTTCATATGAGACCAGTTAACTCTGAAAATTTTTAGTTTTTCTAATATTTTCAAGCGTCATCCTTTGGTCAATTGGCATGGAATGGGGTAAATAAATCATGCCAAAAAAAAATAATATTGCGAGTAAATACATAACCTTGCTTCTCAAAAGTGAAGACATTGGGTTCAGGGGAAAATTGAATGAAATAGTGAACTTCTAAGGATTCACATTTTGGAAATATGCTGCGATATAGGGAATTGTTGCAGCATACAGCACTTTGAATATAAGGACAGAACTCTTCGCCACAGCATTAAGGCCGCAAACACAATTTCGCGTGACTACTCGCGACTCTCATGACATTTTGGAGAAAGGAGTGGTGGCCATTTCCAAATTGACAAGAGTTATTTAATGTGAATCGTTCAAGCAACGCTCACCTATCAAAACTAGGTTTCTTGACCTAAAATGACCTATTTAGACATCAGACACGCTGTCATGTGACAATGGTTTAACCACAAATTCAATGTACAGGAGGGAGAGCAATATTTTTAATTCGAATCTTCCCACCACTCATTTGGAATTGAGGACGACAGAAAGAAACTTGATTAGTAGGTCGTAAGCTTCAAATTAATGCATGTCCCACATTTCTGTACGTGTGGAGTATGAAACTTCGAAAATATGGTCCAATGATGAGGTTCGTTATTCCCCTATTTATTCTGGCATGGGATTTCTGGCCAGCACCTCATTGATATAATGAAAATCGAAGCTCGTATACATATCTGCATAATGTATACGTGAAGGCATTGAGTTTTGAGATGTTTTCAATTGACTTCAACAGTATATCTCGACAGAAGCTTTCCTACTGCAGCAGCCAAAAATACGCGGATTACCTAAGTGGGCCTGCTTAGCACCTATCCAACTCCTCACTTCTGCTTTGGCGGGTGAACACGTGAACTCGATGGGTTTCAATTAGAGACGGCTAGGGGAAAGAAAACGAATTCGATGGGGTAAGTAGAGAAGATTGATACCTGCGCTCCAGCGTACTCAATCACGAAAATAAACGCAGTCCGGTCCGGTCATGGCACTCAGGAGAACTAAAAACTTAAAAGAAACAAAAAGCGTGAGACATTGTCCTATTAGTCTACTATCACACACAAGAAAACTCCCTAAAACCTATAATGAGGAACTCACCACCTAGTTTCAAGAGAAATAAAATTATAGTTAAAGGAATGGGAAATTCGCAACAATCACTTATACAAGAAAACTGTGTGGCAATAAATAGTTAGAAAGCAACACATGCAATTTTTCTAGACATTGAAAATACACCGTATGCCACGACAGACTAAAATAGAAAACTCTTTAAAATAAATCCACCAAGAAAAAATGTTCCTTTGGGTACCCCATTTCCTAACCGACAGAACATGCCATGTCTCGGTAAACGGTACAACATCAAAACCTTTTTCACAAAGAGCACGAGTGCCACAAAGGGCAGTTACCTACATTATACAGGTAATATGCTGGCTGAGTGATATCTCAGAAAACCAACACAGTGCTCTATGCCGCAATACACAGACGACATAGCTTCATGGCACAGTGACCAAACCCAAATCAAACCCAAATGCAAGGCAACAGCAAATGTGTTCACAAATAAATACCGCGATATGATCTCCAGAATAGTGCAAAGCTAGGAAAAAACCAGATTCCGCCAAGAAAAATTCCTTTTCGTTGAGGATTCTGGTTGGTGTTGGAAGAGTTGCCGCTCAGAAACATGCTCGAAAACCGGTCCCTACCAGCATGGAATAACGAAAGAATTAGGAAAGATCCAAAACCATATCGTTTTCACTCATATGACATTGGAGCTTGATGAAGGGATTCGATTCATCAATGATTTCCTCAATCCAGAAGAAGATCCCCTTCCGTGGAGAGTATTAAAGGAAACTAGAATGTCCCCTATGTTGGACTGGCTTCTTTACGAAGGAATACTCGAGTCTATTCTGGAGGGCGGAACATCAGCTTAGCGTAGCGAGGATGTTCATCAACCCTTGAATCCAAGACAAGGTCGAACGGAAAAAAAAAAGAAAATGAAAAAGTAATGAGGTAGCACGCAATCTCACGAAAAGGCATTGCACAATGCACACAGCCTTTCTTCAATGCGATCGAACTGTTGCTGATGCATCCGGGACATACATGGGTATACCACTCACCGATTATAAGTAGAACCAGTGAGTACGCATTGTCATTACCAAGTCCTATTCGTACGTGACCAAAAAGTGCCGATAGCTCCCACTGAAGGTTCTGATACAACGATACGTCTACGAAGAGGCCTCTTCGATCAAATGCAACATCAAAATGCACGAGGTTCCAAGCATCAGACATGCAGTCGAAAAGAAGAACCACATCACACATGCGTCGAATCCAAGCGCGTTCACTTCATTTGCAACAGCCATGGCATGGACTTCGAGACGATGTCACGCTTGGTCCCCTTTCACTCTCATTGAGTAAAACGACCAACGAATTGAAAACCAAGAGTAAAACTGGAACATCGGGGTCTCGCTTGAACCTGACAATAGAAACAAGGGAAAAGGACATGATGAAAGCACTCATTCCCATTCTTAGATGAGTCCGTCGTCTTGATACGCGAGCCAATGAGGAGACGCGAAGAACAAGTGTTCTAGGGGCAGAAACACCACATCATCATTTTCATTCAGGCTCTCATCAAAGGCTATGAAATATCTACCTCAAATGGATGAAACGTTTCCTTTTCTCTGATGGCATCGAACTCTTCAGCATATCTTGATATTACATTCTTCCCATTCGGGATCAGTTCCAGCTCCGTTATAACACCAAGGCCCGCCCGATTGGGCGTCAGGATTCCGACAAAAGTTGTGAGAAGGATGCAAGTCGTCTGGGAATGATTCAAATTTCAAATACTGAGCTGCTCTTGAGATGTCATTGGGCAAAACGCTCATCCAACTCTGGCAAGGGTTACCGGATTTCGTAACATTCTTCGTTCCCATATACTTGTCTCCTCTTTTGTTTTTCTTGCACTCCAATGGACCTGGTTTAAAAGGAAGCAATGGCAGAATGTGATGCACAAAATAAGGTAGGAAGGAAAGGGTAGGAGATAGGTGAGACCATTTATGGAATGATGTTTCACGATGGCAGGGAAAATGGTACTGAGGGGTCGGAGGAAAGTCAAGAAAACGAAGAGAGAAGACCCACTTATGCAATTTCCCGAGACACGAATATCGCATCGTTCTCCTTCTGTCCCAGGACAAAAGGGAACATCGCAATATTCCCATTCGTGCTCGTTGTACGAAAAACACCATGGACCATGGCCTCTGGCATCGGGGTTGCGGCAGAAGTTGTGGCTCCCATCGACTTCATCTGAAAATGCTGATAAAGAGGCAGTAATCGAACTGGAATCACGTGGAAATCGAGCCAGCCAATGTTGGCACGGAAATCCCGATATGGTCGCATTCCGCCGTCCGACATATTCTCCGCCGCTTCGCGTCAGCTTGCATTCGGGCGACTCTGAAAGAGAATGAAACTCCGCTCAAGTTGTGAATCAGCCATTTTCACCACGATGGAATCGAGGGACGCACCGAGGTTATGACAGAAGGGAATTTCGCAGTATTCCCACTCGATGTCTGGGTCAGAGACGAAGCACCATGGCTTTTCCCTGTACAGAGCAGGGTTCCGGCAGTAATTCTTGTGGATTCCTGGGTTCCCGTTGATGAAGTGATCTGGATATCCCATTTCCTGATTGAAGAAATCCCATGGCATGCCATACGGCTTAGTTTCCCAGTCGAGACAAAGTTTTCCCGTCTCAGTCACGTCCTTCGTCCCCACATATCCCTTTCCTTTCTCCGTCAGTCTGCATTCGGGATACACGTTCCCCTCTGGTCCAACTTGAACTTCTTGGATCTCGCAGAAGGGAATGTCACAGAATTCTGAGTCAAAATATTCATTTTCAATGAAACACCACGGAGCGACCTTTCCATCAGGGTTGCGACAGAAGTTGTGTGTCTCCTCAGTTCCTTTGTAATCCGGAAATCCCGGTGAGAAATCCACAATTCCAGTGAAGTTGCTCATCCAAGGTTCCCCCCAAGGTTTGCATGCGAAACCTGAATGGCTCACGTTCTTCCTTCCAACGTATTCACCGCCTTGTTGAGTTATCTTGCACTCTGGAGGGTCTGTTCACAAAACAGTAGATTGCGGTTATTGGCAACTTCCTACTTCTCCACAAAAAAGTGACGCTCATCCGGAAGTTGTGAGAAACGAAAGAGTGTCTTCAATTGCATACACGTGGCTGCCTCCAAAAGTCTTTGGAATACTGTTATGCATGATTTCGAAACTTAACAACGCCATGAAAACTAGTGAATCAGTAAGTAGGCATGAAAGGAACGCGCCCACGCTGACCATTTTTTTTCATCTTTTATTTATTTCCTGTCAAACTGGGCGCGTCTTTCCAGACATTTTTTGGCTACAGCAAAACTCGCTGCAAAAAATACATAATGAACATGTGCACATGGCATGTGCCCTGGGCAAGGAATGAGTACCCTGAAAATGCTCAAAATGGCGAAAATACTCTGCATTCCACCCAGTTTAATGATCCAATGCATTACGAGTTCATCTAACGCGTTCGCCATTTACGCAAAGTTCGCGACGTTAAACTCTTCGAAGCAATATTAGGCGAATTTAAGAAACAAATTAATTACGATGGTATGTTTAAAGTACGGAAATCTTACGCGATATGTTCACCCACATTAAAATCCTCAATTAGCATGAATCTATTCCAATCAGAAAATGCTAAAGTCCATAAAAGAGGACGAGGGGATAACAATGGAATAATTACCCGTATCCGTGCACATGGGGATATCACAATATTCCCATTCTACATCTTCGTCCGTGACGAAACACCATGGCCTCTCCCTTCCGGATGGGTTGCGACAGTAGTTATTGTGAGACCAGGTATCCAGGTTGGGGAAGTGGTCAGAATATGTGACGTTTTCGAGAAAATCGTCGGGTGTTCCGTTGGGCTGAGTGTCCCATCTCAGACACTCCTTTCCTGATTCCATCTTACTCACCTTCCCGATGTATTCTCTTCCCTTATTCGTCGGCCGGCACTCTGGATACTTATACAGCGGCTCACCTATAAATTATAAACTACTGTGGAAGAGTAAAAATCAATGCAAACATATGGAACATAATGTCATTTCCGTCCTGACATACCAAGTTAAATTCAGGGTAGCTGTTCGACAAGCGCAAAAAAAAGTATCTGTGATAGATTAGTCCAATACCATGACAAGGAGCCGTGGAGAAGCTTGGATCAGTCCCTATCTTGTGGTGTCTTCCGATATTATATACTATACTGCATCTTGCACATGGTCTTCACTTTGTGGGAGTTGAGTCGTCCTTTTTAAATTACTGTTTTTAGCCTGCCTGTACCATTTCGTGTGGAGACGCCACACGGGAGGATTCTAGTCTTTAGGACGAACTTGGATATACAAACTTGATACGTCCCAATCTCCGTCTTCGCCCCAAGAATAATAGAAACTATGGATCATTCGGCCGTGCCTCATAAAAACGTGAGATGACAATGGAAAAAATGGACATAACATCATTAGTCATAATTTTCAGAAATTATTGGTTAGACTTTGTTTGATCAAATGTGCAGAAAGGGGAAATGAACTTTTATGAACGCTCTTAACATCAGTTCAGAGTGAACATTGGGCTAACCGTATAAAATCGATTCACCGAAAACCCAGCGTCACGGATGATTCACTTCCCCGATTAATCTGTTTTAGACACAAAGGAAATCTGGAATAATACCTATACATTGTTCAGACTGACAGCGCTACGCATCCCTGTAGATGTTGTCGTGATTCTACAGGGTGAGTCAAATGTCCTGACCACCTGTTGAACGCTAATAATTTCTCAACGCTTCATCTCATGGAGATGCGGTTTTCACCATTCGAAAGGCAAGACAATTCTATATGCGACGAAGGATTTTTGCATTATTTTTCCAATGTAAATTAAATTCCTGTTCTTGGGTCATATAAAAGCATTGGCACCCAAAGCATGCGCACGGCACTGTGTCAAATTTTCTGTTCGATTGTCAGAGGGTGTCCAGATCGGAGGTCCAGATTCGGAGTAAAACCGAACTTTTGCAACTCGCTCATTATTGGTCAATCGTTTATCAGCCCTTTTCCTCAATCCTCCATGAAGAGGAATTTGATCACAGCCAAGGCACAAGAACTCTCATACTCGAACGGACAATTGGATGCTGTGCCGCCAGGTTGTTTTCACGTGCCAATGACTTTGTATAGCTCCCAGAATAGGAATTGATTTTTCCAATGATATCATGAGGAAAACAATGCGAAAATCCTTCATTCGATACAGAATTGTCTAGTCTTCCGAATGATTAAAGCAGCACCTCGATGAGATCAAGCGTAGAGAAGTTCTTCACGTTCAAAGGGTGGGCGAGACTTTTAACTCACCCTGTACCGAAGCGCAGCAAGAGGGGGGCGTGATGAAATCGTAACTTGTCTGAAAAGATGAGAAGTTTCTGGACGTATTGAATGGTGTGATTCAGAGAACATTTTCAGTGCGGGGAAAGCCGTTCTCATGTTCTCATGAGTATCGCAAAAACAATCCAGAACGACCTGCTTCTTTGTATCGAAGGTGCGATATCTAAGTCAACTCAAGAGGAAATGAGAGAAACTCCCTTCATGGCTACGAAATCTGATGAAGCAACCGACATCTCAAAATGAGTACAGTTATTCATCACCCTTCACAAGGTTAACAGAACAGGAATTGTGCAAGAACGGTTCATGGATTTCTTGTTTCTCAATCACGTGATGCAGAATCCATGACCTAGTGGAGTGGAAATGAGATGAAACAATATCCATCAAAGAAAGTAGTCTGCCAAACCTATGATAGAAATGCGATAATGCCTGGCAATCTCTACAGCGTGCAGGCGAAAATCAACAAGATTTTTCCTCGAGCGTCGTACCTTCATTGTTATTGTCATTGTTTGATTTCTTAAGGTGCACCCGGGAACCTGCGTCATGCAAGTGAAGTAATTTCATTTCTGGCCCGGGTTGCTTATCATTCAGTCTATTCCCCGATCCACGAAACGGAAGAATCTCTTGCCAACGATGCAAGCATGTCTGCCAGATGCCCAGGAAAGAAGATGGCATCACCTTCTGAAACCAGGCGGACTTTCAAGGGACGCGCTATTCCAACAATTTTCGATAATTCTGAGGCAAGTCTTCAGCACGATCGAGAGTCATCCTGAGTGGTTTCGAGACCCTGAGACGCTTGCAGATGCCGTGGTTTGAGGAACCAATATGAGAATTTCGATTTCGTCCTCATTTTGCTCGCAAATTGCAAAATATTTGGATTAAGACATCCTTGTTAGGTTTTCCAATATAAAGACAAGCTAATTACATCTTTTTTGGAATGAAAAAGGGAAGAAAACAGTCAAGGGTATTGATGCCTCCGCCCGTGTCAACTGTCTCCACGGAGCGATCATTCTCTACTTCGAAACGAGTCAAAACGCATTTCAGAAATGCCAGGGGCAATAAAAGCCTAAAAGTCTGAGTACATTTTTGGATCGGAAAGGAGTTGGTGTCATCCATGCAGAGAGGACGATTTTATTATTAATGAATTGATCAATCGAAGGGTAGGAGGGTGGATATACTTTGCAAACAAAGACCAGTGTTCAGATGATCAAATGCGGAAATAATTTTAATTGTAGTGACTTACTACCAGCAGCGAAGCCAGGAAGTTTTCGCAGAGGGGATGTGATTCTCAGAAGTGACTGGCGAGAGGATGGGGGGGGGGGGAACGGGTTCTGAGTAAAGTCAAATGAGAGGCCAATTTGTGCCTGCTACAACAATTTCTATTAAATATTTGCATGACTTGTTCCAGTCCTCAGTCCTTGCACTTATCCTAATTCCAACTTCATATGCGCTACCTTGTCCAAGCAATCTACGTAAGTTTCCATTCACTTCATACTCATTCTCTAAAGTAAGCAACCCAGCATTTTCTGTTGTCCTACGTGTTGTTTCAAAGTTTCAGCCGTCACCAGATTTTCAGAAGTACAACAGTTTTGAGTCATCTCTGAGGGAAAGAAAGTGCCCCTACTGCTATATGTGCCCGTAGATGAAAAACGATGGGAGAACTCTGCACTCCCCTTACAAAAGATTTTCCAGAAATATAATTGGAACAGTGAAACTGAGGAAAAAGTAACGGTTTTTCCAACGTCACTGAACCTGTCAGAAGACCCTCCAGGTAAAGATTAGGGTGTAAAAATCGGTAAAATTCGGACGAACGAGGGGGTATCGTTTTGTATAGGTCAATTGATTACCTTAAGACACACAGGAACAGTTGGGTGTGCATGTATTTCATCAAATTGAATTGAAAGCTCTTACAGACAATTGTGTTTTCCTTGAAGGAGCTGCACCAAGAATCAGGATCTGCAGAAGAGCATTCAGCCGCGTGGAGTTGAGAACCATCGGAGAATCCTTTGGGATGCAGACAGCGGAGAATCACCCTTCCACCCGGTGGAGCTGGGTATTCTCCGCTCCAATCCTCAAAGGATACGGAGGCGTTCTGAATCGTTGGATGCTCCGTCAGGCACAATCCTGTGTTTTAAACAGACTGAATTCCCCAAAGCCAATTCCTCAAATGTATTTCAAGTCGATGACTCACTCTGAACATAGGATGTAAATCCTTTGGCTTCCACAAGGCCACTTTTCCCATTGAAAACCAGCTCGCATGAACCATCGGATTCACGATAGTTGAAGGCATAGCAGGGGAGTTCCGGAAAAACGCATCTAATGCCGCAAATTCCGACACTCGCTTCTTTTGTTTCTAAGGTGATGTTCTCGTATCTCTTTCCCGGATGTGCAGCATGATGTGCAACAAAATCTTTGGAGATCACACCGTGTAAGCAGGTATAGAAGAAAGCGATGACGACCACCGGCTTGGCTGCACGGGAGGAGAGAAGTTCCACGGTCATGGCTTGTAATTCACGGGGAGGAGCAGAATGAGCTAGTTGTATACGTGGCACAGGCTACCGGGCTGACGAGCATCGACCATTTCTACAGAGACCAAGTCACACATTCGTTGCATGGACTTCCTGCGTCCTTCCCGAGTGCCGCTAAGTGGGTTGGCCGTGTAAGGAAACTCTCGGCAAGGCAAACCTGTTTTAACGTCATGAAACGTTGTGCAGCTGGAACTGCTTACTTTCCAGAAGAAATCCATGGAAACCTTACTTCAAAATGCCATCAGGGAAAGGAGGTAAAAGTTGTTACTTGTATGCTTTCGCGAATTTCGAAATAGAAAGTTAATTTTACAGCACAGTTTTAAATTTAGCTTAGATGGCGATTAAAATTTAGGTTTTAAATTTTGTCCATTTCCAACTCAGCTAACATAAATCAGACTGAATGTTTCCCGCTGTTTGCCAAAGAAGATTGAAACTTTAAGCATGGTGGATTGAACGAATGGTCACCTAACTCTGCTTTACAATCACACTGGGGAATCAAGCTTCTAGTTTGTGCGATTGCAAGATGTGCCACGATATCACCTCTAAGCGGTTCTTTCCCTATTGCTATGTTCTATTCTAATCCCTTTTCACCTGACTTCTCCCGTACTTTCCTGTCGGTTAATTACTGTTCTATTCCTTGGAACCGTGAATTCCATAAATGCGCTCGAACTTCATAATGACCTGTGAAAGGATAGGACGAAATGAGTTGATCGCATTCAAAGTTATTAAATTGTCATTGAGTTCTCCACATCTAGGTAGCAAAAATTGACTTGAATTATTTTGAGTTTTATTCGGACATTGCAATGAACTGCATAATCAGTTATTAGGCAACCCCTTGAGAACGATTTCATGAATTAAAATGTGGCTCTGGTACCCTGAATTTTCAACCACTTCATCTGAACAGGATAAAAAAAAAATAATCTCTGCCGATACGATAACTGGGAGAGTCAAAGGACCGATTGCACGAACGATGTTTATTTTAGACATTGATTATCGATAGTCATTGTTTAAACATTGTCTTTTGTAACCCCTTTTGGTGTAAAGCGCGGTCTGAATTCGCGTTCCATTGCTTATACATGTACTGTATATGCTAAATCGGAAACAATCTAGGAATCCCCTAATATCGACAAGAAAATCGGAAAACCTCTCACAGTCTCATGCCACATTTTCCTAAACTCTCACCAGGGATTTTTGGGTCACGCACGCGGTTGAC